TTTTGGACATGCCTCTGTCTTCTGGAAAGAGCTACAAGGCAGAGTCGTGCCTATGAAGCTGGACCTTGGAGACAGCTGTCAGTTGGGTGAGTCTCCACTACCCACTAGGAGCTCTCATATTAGAAAGACTTCCTTACTCTTTTCTGATACTGCTGAACTTCTCACCTACGTGTGCCAGCAGAGATGAAGATTAATTGTGAAGGCAAAATGGTCCCTGAGTACTGATGCCATGGGTTTATTCAGGCTGTGGATCAGCAGTTCAATGTGTTAAACTTCAGCTCTCACTAGTGCATGCAGAGCCAGGGCTGTGGGAGAGACATCTGACAGCTAAATGTATAAGTTTGTATTCAGCACCCTCAGCACCTCTGGAGGATGAGTCATCTCATCCTGACATCAGCACTAGAGTTCAGTTAGCCAAATGCTCATCCTTGGGCAACAAACTCTCTGCAGTGACTATGAAGGGAGCCAGGGGTATGAATTTGGACTCAAACCTCTAACACAGATGTCTAAAAGCCCACTGAAAAAACAATGAGGGTCTGGCTGCACTATTGCTGCAAAGAGGGGGTGCAAGAGAACAGGGGTCAGAAGATGAGTTTATGACATGAACTCCGACTGCCAGTATGGCTGGTTACTCCTTGCCTGCACATTGTATTTGGAGTTAGGATGTCTCATCCCTGTGGTTTCACCAGAGTTTAACCATAACTGAAAGATCTAACTCCCGAAACTAGCAGGCGATGTGGCTTTACCGTCATATGTACAATGCATACATTAATTACATAGAAATATGAAGACCTTGATGTGAAAAGCATTTTAGTAAGATGATTTAATGACTCTTTACCCATGGAAATAATTCTCTGTACTCTCATCTATCAGGGCATTCCTCTGTTTTATATAGTAATTGCAGACAATCACCTTCCCCTCTGTTCACTGCCATTGATTCTCTTTCAGTTTAAATTAAAACTGCTTTAAATGTTTCCTTAATGTCCCTCACTTAAATTGTACAGCCTCTGTAAGGCTTTTCTCTTACAGGTGAGTTAAAGCCTGAACAACATGATCTTCTAACCCTGATCCATCAGCCAATTCCTTATCCGCAGATGGAGAAGAGTGCACAGAGACCAGCTGAGATCAGTGAAATTTCATACAGTCAAAAGAGATCTAACTAGGCTTAAATCAGCACATCTTAAGTCAGGACATCTTTTTCTCAGTGAACGTGCAGTTGTTTGCTCTAACATCCCTCCTTCTTATTCTGCTAGGTTTTCTGTTTTGATGAATGTGGGAAACCCATCTGTCATACTGTGCTAAAACTGACTTATGATAAACAGGATAAAGCTTTTAAGTTTCTCTGTGAGACTTTGCCCATACTTATGGGATTACTATGTGTCAATGTCTCTAAGGCCCTCTTCTGTGTTGCTGCTGCTTGGCAGATTATTGACCGTCTCCTGACTGATGGTATCCAACAGTCTACACATACCTAGTCACTGATGTGCAAAATAAATGTGCTGCCTTAGATCTCCTTATGGTATGAGCCTTGCTAGAAAACAGACCATCAAGGTAGCTTAGACTAATACAGGCTTAGCATAAAGGCAGGCTTAGTGAGCTGACGCAGTCAGGTACCACAGCTCTGCTCAGAAGTGGCACCTTGCTAGGCTGGAGCAATATTTTCTGTTTGCACTATGCATCCATTTTCTCAGATAAGTAGCTGTTTCAGCATGCTTTGCTTTTTTTCTCCATTATCTCAACAAGTTTCCCATTACATTTGCATTGCAATGTGGGCAAAATAAAATGTACACTCCTTATAAGCAGATAGGAACCAACTGCTGAGATGCTTGAATTTTGTTGAATTCCTACCAAAACCAAATGTTACTCATCTAAATAAGGGCCGAGCTTGGACAGACTGGAGGCCGCTGAGCTAGCCCACTAATACAATTCCTAGTGAGTTAGTTCCTCTGTACCAATCTGTGAGAAAATAGCAACAGCATGAGCACAACATAGAAAAAACCTCCATCTTTAACTTTCCCCCTTTGTTTTCAAGCAGTAGGATATATACCCAGAATGTCTGGCAGTAGGCACTTGGTCATATGATTGTAACAGCAACACAGGGAAACATCACATGAGAGACAAACTATCTAAATAATTCTAATTTTCATCTTTATAATTGCAGTAGTCCAGCAGGTTTTTTGGACAATCAGACAAAACAAACCTCCAGGGCTACCTGTCAAATAGACAAAGATAGCCTGAACTCCTGAAGAACATGGGAAGTTTTACCTGTGCAAAAAAACAAGGCCAGGTTAGACAGCGCTTCAAGCAACCTGGTCTAGTGGAAGGTGTCCCTGCCCATGGCAGGGAGGTTGGAAAGAGATGATCTTTAAGGTCCCTCCCAACCCCAACCATTCTACAATTCTATGAAAATCTGAATAAAGGTTTAAACAGGTGAGATAGGAAGCTGCTCCCAGAAGGAAGATAGATACACAACATCTGGCATGATGCTGGGGTACTGCACCGTCTCCATCACTGGCCCAAATTCAGTGAAGCATCTGTTATATCTTTATGGAACAGCATCTTAAATTTACTTCACTCTGCAGAGACTCTCACTCAGCCCTGGGATATGCCTAATAGAAGTCATATTGTAATATTTAACATTCTTATTAAAGAATCAGAAGGCTCCATTCTAGGCCTGAAAACCTAAAATACCCCAAATGCATTGAAAACAACACCAGTGTAGGTGTCATTATTTACTGTTTAAGTTTCTGTCAAGTGCTGGAAATATTCTCAAAATATGAATCAGGACTGAACTATTTTATTTCCTGTGGAAATGCCTGAACCTCATTTAATAATTTCAGCTTTTGACCTGTCAGAACCCATACGGGATAAAGCACTGAGTGAATTATAGAGCAACAGCAACTTCTACTGTGCCCTAATTATTGATTAAAGTAGAAAGTAAGCATTCGCACAGTCCGGACTCAAGGGAAATGCCTTTCTGTCTCAGAATAACAGCAAGTTGTGCATTCTTTTCTGCAGTGTTGCTGCTATGTATATTACCCAACTGTGACCTGAAAGTGAAAACTGCTATAAAAATACATGAATCATCTTCTTAGATGATATTATCCAAGTTCAGACAGGTAACCTGGATTTTTAAGCTGTTTTTGCCTTACTAACCTGTCGTTAAAGCAGAACTGAAGTAAAGAAATGTACATGTGTCAGTTTTAAAGTTGGCATTGTTTCTCTAACACATGAATAAAATTTGAACAAATCTCATTCCCATAAAAAGCTGGATTCTGCAGGCTGGGGGAAAAAAAATATGCTGTTTACTCTTGCCATTAATGTTCTGAAAAGATATTTTCCTGACATAAAACTCATTTTCACTCCTGTTTCGGTTTTGCAGCATGTTAGCAATAATGTTTAAGCCTGTTGGACACCACCTCATGAAACACACTACACATCAACTTCATCAGGTGAGCACCCCACTGTTGTCTGCAGCTGGGGACCCTGACACCACGGACTTAAAAGCAGAAAGGAAACCGTTTTGTATCAGGTTAAAGATCAAATCAGAACATTTTGTTTTGTCATTTTAAAAAGAACTTACTTGGATGTTTTTGTCTGAAAGAATAAATCAATAGAGGTTTCAACTTTAGAAGCCAATGTGGAACAAAAGGCAATGTAAAAACATCAAGCTGTCCCAAGGGCCTCACAAAGCCTATTTGCATCTTGTCAGTATACTCTGTAGAAGGGAGCCTAATGCAAGCACTTGCCAGCTATTAGCATGTGCTAATGAGACTCCTGCTATTGCCAGTTCAGGATGGGCACTGCAGGATTTCTTACAGAGTGGTTGGAGATGGGGTGCTGGCAATCAAGGAATCATCATGGAGAGGCATTTCTCCTCTGGTTCACACCAATTTAAGACCCTTTTGTGGGTCTTTTTAAAACCACCATTTGTGGTGGTCCAAACGGCCAGCATGGAGGCAGGATAGGTCACACAGAGGGTCACCGTGGCTGATTTCCTGCCCTGTAACAGCACCTCCTTTCAGTTCAGTCCTTACCCAGACCAGGATCCCACTGATGCTGGGACACTGTCTGAACATGGACCCAGAAAAATTATCTGCCTTGAACAAATAAGCTAATTATGAGGCAAGGCGTCTCTGGAGACCTAGCACCTGTAGGAACTGGAAACTAGAAACTGGGAAGAACTAAATGCAAGGGCTTTAGGGTATTTACACCCACTGAATACAGTGTTAAAGGATACAACCCCATATGCAAGGCTATCCAGCCCCCTAGGAGAGACAGAAAGACCTCTGTGTCCAGGAGGGATACAGTCTGAGATCTCCAGTCAGCAGATTTAGCCTGTATCCTGCATGGCACTGAGGTGTGGGAAGCCCTGAGACAGTGGCAGCCATCAGCGTGACCTCTGGGTCTCGAGACGTGGGTGTGTGCCCTGTCCAGCCCTCTGGGCATGCTCCAGCATCTGACTCCAAGGCAGCCTGCAACCATCTCACCTGAACAGCAACTGATGCTTGGTTTAGCTTCTGGAAACAGAAATGCAATCTCACCTCAGGGGGAATTTCATTACAGCCCTCACTGTGGTTTGCTCAGTTGGTACAGAGGGACTCACACACCCACTGGCAAGAGTCATAGGAAAATGTACATCTCTTGCACTGCATAACATAGTCCCTCTTGAGACAGTAATGCTAGCAGATATAGCTTATCACACAGGCTGTTCTCACACAGCACACCACATAACCTTGTGCCTTATTTGCATTTTGCGTGAAAAGAGCAAGCAACATTAAGTTCAATCAGAAATGAAAGCAGAAGTCATTCTAATAAACGGGGAGATAACAAGAGCCCTGATTCTTCTCCTGGACACGATCACAGCTCCTCTCACGGCCAAGTAGAGCTGGGAGCGCAGAAGACAGGAAGAGGGCTCTTGGAGAACAGAAGAACCTGCTTTAAGGATACAACACAGAGCTACAATAACCGGGGAGAGAGAGAAGTAGAAAGAGACATACTGGAGAAGCTGACCATTGCGAAATGCTGACACCGGTCTCCTGTGAATTCGATCGGACACCTACCGGAAGAAAGAAAACCAGAAAGACAGAAACAAGATAGCAAAATGACACCCAAACAGGTCAAACTGAGGCCTCTTCTGATCCCTTCCACGACTCCTATCTGTCTGCTTTCAGCCTTCACCCTTACCTGCATCCCTAAGCCCTAGCCCAAAGCTGACATCAAGAGCCATCCCTGCCTAGACCACTCTACATCCACTGCTGTGCCCGGGAGGTTTTAAGTACTGTGGTGCATTTTTTATCTTCAAACATACTTTGTTTAGGATCTGGCATGTACAATCGCAAAGGCAGTTTCTCCAAACATCTTTGTCCGAAGAATCCATTTGGACATCTGGAGGGGAAAAGGGGAAAAATCACAGAACATGTCTGGCAGCATTCTTGAGGCTAATGTCAGAAATAAAAAGTGCATTGTGATGAATGGAAAAAATAAAGGCTTTACGCGCATATTTACTCTTCCATTTGCTTTAACCAGGCAACAGCAACATCAGCCTTCCAGCTTTATTTTTGGCCTGGGTCTTCAAGCAGCCAGCCAACCCCCTCCTTTCCTCCTCTGCCTGCCTCCTTCCTTCTCACCTGATAGAAGCACCAGCTGGCAGGAAGATCGAGATGGACTGGATGCTACTTTCAGATAGTCTCCTTGAAGCTGCTATCTAGATGAGACTGGCAAAAGGCACCACAGAGTGGCGAGCAGCTGCTCAAGCGACAGCGAGTGTTGTCTATGGCAAGCATCTTCCCTTTATTACCCCAGAAGTACCCACAGGATGCTCAAGGGAAAAGAGTTACATGGCGGTTAGAGAGAAAGCATGTGCAGAGTCTCTGTGTTAACAGAGAGAAAGGGACAGAGAAGAAGGCTGAACTGAACAGGTCTCACATGTTGTCCAGCTGCGAAGCTCTCTCAGGCTATCCTGATCAATGTTACATGATGAGCTGGGATATGCCAGCTCATGGGTCACCAGTTATACATTATGATGATGCTGCAGTGGCAGGGATGGCACCCTGCAGATGAGAGCCACTAAACATGTGCACCAGCTCATGAGTAAGCTCCCCAGAGCAGCTCCCAGACTGAGCCAGGTTTGGGGAGCACGGGAACATGGGCAGGGGTGCAGCGGGAAGTGCTGAACCACGTACAGTGCAGCGGCACCTGCACACTCTGCAATGTGACCTGAAAGAGCTGTGCGTGAACCTGGGAATCGATGGGATCTCAGCTATGGGTGGTCAAACATTTGTTCTCCAGGTTCTTATTTCTCTCTCTCACTACACATCTTTTCTTCTGGCCTCCCTGGATAGTCCCTCAAAGTTATCCCTAGCTTTCTTGAAGTCCCAGCTGTTACCTGCCTGTCCCACAACTCATTTCCTCACTCCCCAACCAACCTCTCCCTCCTCTGGGCTTAAGAAAGTTTTATCATTACAGCTGGCATCTTAACATCTGTTTTCCAGCTTCCTGGTGTAAGTGGGGCTGCAGGTTCTGTGCCTCATAGACGTCAGACCTTCCTCGCTCTCAGCTGTAACCACAAGATCACACTGTCCCTTAGTGTTCATCAGAACCCAGCTGGTCAACAAAGAAGGGACTGAAAGACACCTCAGCAAAAAGCACGTGGACCAGAGGCCTGAGCTTGAGGCCAATGGCTTAGCTCCCTGTTGGTCCACTGCAAAGGACAGCAAGCAGCTGGAGCAGCCTCAGCACAGTGTCAGGCAAATGGTCCCTACCTGCACATGTGGTGGGGTGAAGTGGGATAGGTCCATATCCAGGTCCAGGTCCCACATGCTCACTGCCAGCCCCATGCAGACAGTGCAGATCTCACCCTGTCGTGCCTCCCAAAGGTACACTAATGCTTGCTCCCAGTCCACGGACACAGCAAAGGGGATGAGGAAGGGATGGCTTTGATGTTTAATATGACCAAAGCTTTGTAGTTCCAAAGCTTGTTGGCAGATTAGTTCTGTACTGTTGCTCAAGGGCTATGGCAGCTTTTGTTGTTCTTGACAGATTTATGTTTAGATGGTATTTTACAGACATACAACTCCTGTGGCAATAAAATAAAGTCATGAAGAGAGACGAATTCCTGCTTTTCTCTACTTGCTTAAGGGAACACAGACAGGTTTTCTCAGCAACTATTTAGTTCCCTTGGGGGGAAGAGGTAGAAATTAGAGAAGTCTTCCCTATTCGTTATGACCAGGAAACCTTGATTTTTAATAGTTTTCCCTCACCATGGACAAACACTGACCTAAGCCAGTAGGTAGAAATCACAACATTTGAGGGAGTGCTAGGGGCTCTCAGCACCTGCACCACCTGTACAGACCAAGGGTACACCAGCCCATCTGTGAGGCTTGCAAGGATACAGACTTCTACAAACTGGAGGGCTCCTCTCCAAATGGGAGAGGTGAGATTCAGCTGAGGTCTGGGGGAGGACTTGAAGAGGCACCAGGTGACTGGGCACAAGGCAGGACAAAGTGTAAAGATCTCCCAGCTGTGGTGATGTACATGGCTGGTGCCATTCCCCCAGTGCATAGACGTCTAATCCCTAGCTGGAGACCTGCATTAACACTCCCAAGGGGGAAGGCTGAGGCATTTGCTGACACACTGATACACCACTGCCACAGGCTCCCAAAGGAGGCCATCCATCTATGGGACAACCTGCTGGTATTCCACAGGTAGCCTGAGCCTCAGCGCTGGGTGCTGGATGCCTACACGGGACCTGCAGATGCACCTCTGAATCCAGCGTGATCCAAGGAGAAGACATAGCCAATAAAAGGCGGCATAATCTCTCCATCCCATCTACTGTCCTTCTCCACCTCAACACCTCCACAGCTCCAAACCTGCCCATTTTTCCCCTAAAGAATGCATTTCCCAGTTCTCCAAGGCAGGCTGCCCCATGTCCAGGGGACATTTCTCCTGCTGTCCCTCTCGCAGAAGAAAGCTTTGGAAGGCCCTCCATGACTGACATGGCTTTGGCACTTGATTTCTTGCTGGTTTTCACTGCAGTTTTGGTAGGTCTGCACTGAGCAAAAAAGCTGGTGCACCCTGACTGCCCATGACCAAACCTATTTTCCTTGCTACAAAGCATCTGGTTTTTGGACCTGAGCTAACACCTCCATGCAGGAGTGTGCTGGGCTATTTGTGCACCGTGAACTGCTCGGGGAGAACCTAAGTGCATGGCTCTGCATGAGGCTTCACTGAACTCCGTAGTCATACATGTAAGTTTCTCAGTATCCAAGTCACTTTTGAAACTGGAAGTTTGACTTCCTGGTCAGGCAAATATCTTTGAAAAATTCAGCCTCTTTTCTCGTTCTTGTACATTCATCTTGGAACACAGGAAAGGGAGACGTACCAGTAATGTTGGTTCAATACCAGGGAGCCCAGCCAGCTCCCAAGGGAAGTCCGGCCCAAGGGTTTACCATCAGATGTGAGTCCTGTTGACCTTCCCCGTGATGAAACAGAGGAAGCTGGTTCTGTGCAGTGCAGTGAAGAAAATGCCTAGTTGGCAATAAAAGAGCACAAACCTGAGGCAGCTGGGTGATGCAGACTCACAAGGACAGCTCTAGGGAAGCATGACTTTGAAGAAACCTTTAGGCGATTGCACTGGGATTTGAACAAGGCATCCAAAATGGTAGGTGTCTTCCCAATCCTTTTTGAAGTTTATTCATTGCCACTGATAAAGTCATAAACTTTTTCACAGAGTCTTCAAGGGTATCCAGTTTAGCTTGCAACGTGTTGCCCATTTGTCTGGGATCTGAGATGCCATGTATGTTGTAAGCACACTGAAGGGCCTCAAGGGTGCTGCTTAATGAAACAAATATCCTACCCACCTCAAAAAGGGGTGCTTCATCTGAAAGGAGCTAAAATTATCTCAGGCACACATTTGAGAGAGGTCAGCCAAGGCTGGAACTTCAGTGTGACTGAAGCTGCATGCCATGAAGCAAAGACTGAAAATTACATAAAAACTGGTGAAAGGAAATAAAAACCCAGAGAAAGAAATTGGTGAGAAGTGAAAACGCAAAACAGAAAAGTGTCAAAGAAGCTTTGATGCCATGACAGCTACCATATCGCCCATCTTCAGATCTCTGCAGTCAGCCTAGTATGGGTGGGGAGAAGAGCTTTCTAGACAGAAAGCAGTGGATAACTCTCTTCTCTGTGTCTAGAATAGCTCAGGCTTTTCATGTTTAGTTACTCATGAATCAGCACTAGGAAAAGAGACAGAAAAGTAGCCCTCATAAACATGAGAACCTTCTGTTACTTCCCAAGCTAACATACAAGCTGACAAGACACACGTGCTCCTCCGGCGTCCCTGAGTCCCGATTCCTCATAAGCAAGGCTTCTGGTAGCAACAGTGACCAGGAGACCTTTGAAAACATGCAGTACTCATGGCTCCTAGTTTCTGAGCTGTCTCATACTTCTAGGCTGGTGAAGATGATTGGTTATTTATTACTATGGTTCCAGACGTGACTTCTAGGAAAGAAATTTCCAGTGTGCATGGCACATGAGTCTCCCAGTCTGGACAGGAACAACAATGAAAAGCATCCCTTCTGCACGCAGAATGTGCTGGCTGTGGTAAGGACTTCTGGGCAGCTCGTCTTCAGTGGTCAAGCAAATGGCCTGAGGGACATACCTGAAATTTAAGGTTCACTAAATTTGAGAGCCATGAGATAGTCTTTGGTCGTGGCAACCTTATTCTTGGACGTTTGGCCCTAATCAAGAAGATTTTGCTGGCTATCCCAGCAAAACAGAGTCCATCCTCCTTTGGAAAGCTCTTGCTGTGACTACACAGGTGGTGGACTATTCCTGTAAATATTACCTTTGGAATTCCTGGTCCACTCCCTGGTGCCACGGAGGTCCAACATGTCTCTGCTCAAAGGCCAAGACAGGTGGACAATGCTGTGTCTGTAGGAATGGTCTTTGGAAAGTACAAGGCTGCACCAACCTCTTGCAGACAGTACTCTGTCCCCTCTCTAGCCTGTGTGGAGAACCCCGAAGACTGCTCTTGCTTAACTCCATCCTTCTGTGCCT